TCCATTATATTCCCCTTGTTGATAAACTGGTGTGCATAATTACTCATTGGAGTGCTAGTTTGTTGGTTTATGTGGGGAGATTACAACTTATAAAGAGTGTGTTGTATGCCATAACTTCCTATTGGATGCAATGTTTCCTTTTCCCTAAAACTGTGTTGCAGAAAATCAATGATGTATGTAGGACCTATCTTTGGACAGGGGGAAATATCATCACCAGGAAGAGTCCTATTGCTTGGTAGAAAGTGTGCAAACCCAAAACAAAAGGTGGTTTTAATATAATGGACATGGAGGTATGGAATAAAATGTTCATTCTCAAGCTGTTATGGAATATTTGTGCTAAGGCTGACAATTTATGGGTACAATGGATTCATGCTTATTATCTTAAGAATGATAGGGTGATGAACAAAATTCCAAAACAGACTGACTTTGGTATCTTCAAAGCAATTATGCAGCAGCGAGAATTTGTGGATGATATTAAGAGCTTATGGACCGGCATGTTACAAGAGGGAAAATTTTGTAGTAGGAAAGTATACCACGACTTGCTCCCGGTTAGTCCTATTGTAAACTGGTGTAACCTGATTATGCATAATAAAGATAGACCCCGTTCCATTATAACTCTTTGGATGACATTCTATGGGAGACTGGGAACTAAAGCTAGATTGTTTCAGTTTGGCATGGTTACCAACAATCGTTGTGTGTTTTGTGATAATGAGGAAACTTTTGGACATCTGTTTTTTGGTTGTATGAAGTTGAAGCGGATTTGGGAAGTCGTGTTAAATTGGCTATGTATTAAGCATGTGCCAGGTGATTGGGAGGATGAAGTTAGCTGGATTCTTATGCATTTCCAGGGAAAAGGCTGGAAGTCACATTTGGTGAGAATGGATATTGCTGAAACCATTCATGAAAGTTGGCTTTTTCGTAATGATATCATATTTCATAACTGTAAGGATGATAGAAATGTTGTAGAGAACATTATTAATGTGATTTTTTTATAGAGGGTGGACTAGTCCTAAACTTAGACCACATATAGCTTTCTTATTGATGCCTTAAGGAATAAGTTACTTACTTTGTACGGTTGAGGGATGGATCCTAGTGATCGCCTTGTATTATGTGTTTTTGAGTTAATTCCATTGTTGATTAAAAAAATATAAGTTCTTATTTCCTTTATTATTCTCTCTTTCTCTCCTCGCTAAAGTTCCTCACACACTAACAAATTGGTATCCAGACCTTCTGGTTATTGTTCTTGGTAATTTTTCAAGAATTTCACGTCAGAGATCGTGTTTTAGGACAAGTGAATCAACTGCTGCAAAGATGGCTATTGATAAGGGCATTCTGAATTCACTTCCAATGCTTGAGGACAAGAATTGAATCCAATGGATAAAAATAGATGCAATCCTTGTTTGGCTTCTACGAAATCCTAGAAATGGTTACCAACGGTATTCCTGCGTTGGTTGCAAATGCAACCGAAGAACAGAAAAAAGCCCACAACAAAGTCAAGAAGAAAGATTGCAAGGATGCTTATTGCATTCAAACAACGGTCGATGCTACTAATTTCGACATAATCTCTCATGCTAAAATGGTGAAGAAGGCATGTGATATTTTGGTGAAGTATTATGAAGGAGGTGAGAAAGTCAAGGTTGTCAAGTTACAAACCTTACATCGACAATATGAGTTATTGTCGATGGGAGAAGATGAAAAAGTTGCAGAATATGTGTTGAAGATTCAAAAACTCATCCATCTCATGAAGGTTGTGGTGAAACCATAACTGATAAGATGATAGTTGAGAAGGTAATGAGAATGTTGACCTCTCACTTTGATCACGTTATCGTAGCTATTCAAGAATCCAACAATCTTGAAACCACTAAAGTGGAAGATTTGTTCGTTGGAGGCACATGAGATGAGGATTGTCGAAAGGAAAGGAGTGCAAGACTCAATACAGGCTCTATAAGCTCAGTCATAGGAAAAGGATGGTGGTTCCAATAATTCAAAGGCAAGTTCGACAAGACTCATAGCAAGAAGTCTTGGTCGAAACCTCACAAACATCAGGTCGAAGACAGAACTTCTGAATCCTCGAAAGGAGGAGGAGGAAACTATCGAAAGGGAAAAGAAGATAAAAAAAGGTGTGTAGTGTTATAACTGTGAAAAGTGGGGTCACGTAGCCAAAAATTGTTGGTATAGAAAAGACAAGGGATCGACAAGCATGGACGAATGAGAGACCTTGCACGCCAAGATTCAGATGATTCTGGAGGTGGTATGGTGGTTATGGCTACAGTTGCAGATAACCATGTCGAATCCAAAATCTGGTTTCTCGACTCAGGCTGCTTGAACCACATGACTGGTCGAAAGGAGTGGTTGGCAGATTTTGACGAGTCAAAGAAGAGCAAGGTAAAACTTGCTGATAATAGTTCATTGCAAGCAGAAGGTACTGGAAATATAGTATTTCAAATGATTAATGGAGGGAAAGCTATGATCAAAGATGTGCTTTCTGTACCTGGAATAAAGTGCAACTTGCTAAGTGTTGGGCAACTAGTCGAAAAAGTTTTTTCAATTGTCATGAAAGATGGAGTTTTGAAATTGTTTGACACCAAGAACAATTTGGTCTTAAAATCTTCATTGTTGAAGAACAGGACATTTAAGACTATGATCAGTTCGACTAAAGTTTAATGTTTGAAAATTGTTGTTGACCACAAGGATAATTGGTTGTGGCATTTGAGGTTTGGACATTTGAATTTTCAATTACTCAATCAACTGATTACTCAAGATATGGTTACTGGAATTCCAAGTCTTGAGATGCCTAAAAAACTTTGTGAAGGTTGTTTAGTAGGAAAGCAATCTAGAAATTTTTTCATTTCAACTATGCCAATGAGATCATCTTGCATATTCAAAGTGGTACATTCAGATGTATGTGGTCCATTTGAAGATCATACAATTGGTGGAAACAAATATTTTATTTCGTTTATCCATGAGTTTAGTCGAAATTTATGGATCTATGTGATCAAACGAAAGGACGAAGTATTCGAAATTTTTAAGAGATTCAAGATACTTGTCGAAAACCAGAGTGAGAAGAAGATCAAAGTTCTGCGAATAGATGGAGGTGGCGAATACACATCCAAGATGTTTGAATATTTCCGTGTAGAACATGGTGCTGATCATGAGGTAACTTCTCCTTATACACCTCAACATAATGAAATTGCTGAAAGAAGAAACATAACCATATTAGATATGGCGATATGTATGTTGAAGCAAAAGAATTTGCCAAAGTATTTATGGGAAGAAGCTATTTTGACTGCGGTTTATATTTTGAATAGGTGTCCTACAAAGATATTGAAGAAAAAAGTTCTTGAAGAAGTATGGAGTGGAAAACGACTATCAGTGAGTCATTTCAAGGTGTTTGGCTCTATGTGTTACAAGCATGTTCCTGATGCAAGAAGAATGAAGCTTGATGACAAGAGTGAATCTATGATTCTGGTAGGATATCATAAAACTGGTGCATACAAACTATTCAATTCAGTTAATGAGAAGATTGTGTTGAGTCGAGATGTTGTGATTAATGAAAATTCTACATGGGATTGGAATTCTAGCAATTCAATTAACAAGCCATTGCTGAGTTCTGATGTCGATGAAGAAACTGATGAAGTAGAGGTCAAAGGAATTATTGAGAATCCAATCGAAGTCGAAGAAGAAGCAGTTGCTGACATTCCCGACACAGTCGAAGTCAAAGAGGTTGTGGCTGAAACAAGCCAAAGACCTCAAAGAAATAGAGTTATTCCAACAAGACTTTATGATTATGAAATGGTGGGTGATGATGAAGTCACACCAGATGGGGAATTAGTTCATTTTTCTTTACTTGCAGGTGTTGAACCAATTAACTATAGCGAAGCTTTGAAGACTAAACAGTGGAAGTTAGCTATGGTCGAAGAGTTACAGGCAATCGAAAGAAACAACACATGAGAGTTAGTCGAATTGCCAGCACATAGAAAAGCTATCGAAGTAAAGTGGGTATTCAGGTTGAAACATAATGTTGATGGCTCGATAGCAAGACATAAAGCAAGATTAATAGCTCGAGGGTTTCTTCAAATAGAAGGACTCGACTACTCTGAAGTATTTGCTCCAGTAGTAAGATTGGAGACTGTTCGACTAGTGGTAGCATTGGCATGCAACCAAGGCTGGTCGACATTTCACTTAGATGTGAAATCAGCATTTTTGAATGGTCCTTTAGACGAAGAGATCTATGTAACATAACCTTCAGGGTTTGTGATTCATAAGGAAGCGAGTAAAGTATATAAGTTACACAAAGCGCTCTATGGCCTCAAGCAGGCACCCAGGGCATGGAACAAGAAGATTTTCAAATATTGAAGCAAGGTATGATGCTACATCAAAAGAAGTATGTCAAAGAAACCTCTTGTATTGCAAATCGACAACAAGTCAGTCATAAATCTGGCGAAGAATCCAGTTATACATGGAAGAAGTAAACATATTGAAGCAAGGTTTCACTTCTTGAGGGAAAAGGTAAATCAAAGTGAATTTGAAGTAAGACATTGCTCGAGTGAAGCACAGTTGGTCAATATTTTCACCAAAGGAAAGATTGACAAATTCTTGAATTTGAAAAAGAAATTAGAAATAGTTCAGATTGACTATTTTTGAGGATGTTCGACAACTTGGATTATAGGAGTGTGTTGAGATATTAAATTAGATTTGTTAAAATATTAGATTAGATTAGATTTGATTAAATTTAATATTTAAATATAATTCAAGTTATGTAGACGCAAGCTCAATAAAAGTTGTATATAAATAGTTCTAATTTGTATCATTATTTGTACAATTCAATAATATAAATTTTTATTTCTTTTATTATTCTCTCTTTCTCTTCACTGAAAATATCTAATGCACTAACATTAATTACTTGCATTATACATATTATTAGTATAGTACTATATCAAGGTTAATCATAGATTAGTCATATAACTTATCAAATCGTTTTAATTAATTTTTATTTACAGCTACGAGGGTATATTGATGATACTGAAGATTACATGAATATTCAGGTAATTAACTAGTAGCTAGCAATTTACAATTAATTAGTAATGTATATTAGCATTTGGAGAAATGATATCTCATATAAATAAATTTTTAATATTTTGCAGATTGACAATCATAGAAATCAGTTGATTCAGGTGCTATTATATGTGTTTTTTTCTACATAAACATGCATGGAATATTTTTTATTAATTTTTTATTTACATAATTTTCATGCTACTAAATTTTTTGAATATTTATATCTATGCAGTTAGAGCTATTTCTTAACTCAGGAGAACTTTCCCTTGCATTTTATTCAGTAGTGACTGGAATACTTGGCATGAATATTAAATATTCTTGGCAAATAAAACACGATTACATGTTCAAATGGGTAACCACAATAGAGGACTATGTTTTTTGCAATTTTTAAACATGATAATCAAATTAAAGAATATAATATATCTATTTTTATTTGCAGGTGTGTATTTTTACAGCGATTGCTTCCATTTCTATGTTTCTCATCATAGTTGGCCAAGCTCGCAAAAAGGGGTTGGTTTGACTCATGAACAGTTGAATTTGCAATCTGGTGGAAAAGGGACCATTGAAGGTTCCAATTGTAACTTATTTTGGTATTTGTTAGTTGTACTCTTAATAAAATTTGTTGTTGAATCCTTATATATCTTGCACAATTGGTGGATGTTTTTACATTGGTGAAAATTGAATTTCCCCTTTAAGTAAAAGAAAAAGCATAATAGCATTGTGCATAGCTGAAGTAGAACATATTGGAGCTGGATGTTGCTCACATCTTCTATGGATGAATAAGTTAGATGATAATTATTATTTGATTTGTGAGTTTAATTTCAATTTACTTTGATAATACCTTTATTATTTATCTTATTAAAAATTTGATGGTGCATTTCTCTCCTCTTAGTGGAAAAGAGTGCCCCTCTTAAATTTAAAAAGGATTATCATCCTAATATTGGTTTGAGATAGGGTTTGTTAAGAAGGTTGGGACAGATCTTCAGACTTATTTTTAAGAAGATTCTTGGATATACAGCATATCTCTTAGAACTAGGTTTAAGAGACTATTCACCATCTTCCAAAGGCAAGAAGGCATAACACATGAGATTGAGAGAATGAAAGATGGGAGGATTTCTTGGGGTCTTGGCTGGAGGAGATCGTTCTCCGCCCATGCACTATTACAAATAACATATTTTACTACGGTTGGAAGAAGGACTCCACGACAGATGGTGGCCCGTAGTAAAGAAGGGGTTGGTTGTAAGTGCCCTCTTCACCATCACGGATTGCTAATCGTGGTAAAAACAGAGAAGCACGTAACGTATCATTACTGTTGTATAAAATAACTATAATAAAAGGTTGATGTCAGAGGTTCGATATCTAACGCCGGAATTTTTATATATTTCAATACATTTGACCACGATTCTAGATTTCAACCGTAGTGAAAGACTTAGCGCACAATATTTTACTATGGTACTAAATTCCAACCGTAGTGATATGCTTACTTGAGTATATTATAATTTATATGGAATGTGTGAGATATTGAATTGAACTCTATTGGATCGAAGGGAAGCTTCGTGGTTCGACAGAGGTTAGCATGCAGTCGAAGGTCGCTCACATGTTGTTGTCGAAGTAGTGTATGATGTAGTTGAAGTATGGTCAAGCATGAAGTTGTTGAAAATGCTAGGGTCGTTAGCATGTTGATTTGGGCTTGTTTGTTATATCCAATTGTTTAAGTTAGCTTGTACCCTAAGTTAGCTTGTAATGAGTATTTGTGAAAAAGCCCATTAGTTTAGTATGTTAGGTTTATTATAAATAGCATACTAGTATTTCATCATTGTACACTGTAAATCCTAATTTAGAGTGAGAGAGGTTATTTGTTATTCTATAACACTTGTAATCTTGTTTCAAAGAGAAAGTAAAAAATAGCAGTTAATAACCAATTCTTTGTTGTTCTTCGTATTCCATCATCTTTTCTACCCTTGTTTGTTTCTTGATCATAAAAGAACAATTTATAATTTATTTCTAAGGCATCGTTTTCACAACAAATTGGTGCAGTGAGCGTGGAGAAGATGCCTTCAACAAAAAAATGTGATTGAAAATTTCACTGAAGTGAACGATTTCGGTCTGTGGCACTTGAAGATGAAAGCCCTACTAGTTCAGCAGGGTTGTTTGGAAGCATTGAAGGGAGAAACAACCATGGATGTTGCGTTAACGAAAAAAAGAAAAGACGACCATGATAGAGAAAGTGATAAGTGCAAATTGTAGTTAGTTTTGTATATACTTTTTGTTTCACTTATCTACTCTTGGTTGTTAATATCAATTGAATAACCCAACTTTGTGTATAAATACGTTTAGTTTGTGTATAATATATTTTCGTGTATAAAGTGTACCGTTTGATAGTTTTGTACTCATTTTATAGGTATTTGAGCATTGTTGGAGTAAGAGGAATAAAGCTCCAAGATGCATTTTTGATAAATGATGAATAAGGCAAAAGATGGAGCCATTCCAAGTTATGTCGTAAAAGAAACAAAAGTTGCTGAACTGTCTTATGTTGTCGGGCGAAATACCTGTCGCCAGGCGACAATGGGCGAGAAGGTCATTTTTGATGATTGTCTCAGCCTTGCTTCGTTGCTACGTCGCCAGGCGAGGAATAAAGGTGTCGCTAGGCGAAGCCTTTTGTCGTCAGGGAGATGGAGGATTTTTTGACCTGCTGAGGACGTGGCTTATCCTGGGCCAAGTGAATAAGAGACGTTGTCGAGCGACGCTTTATGTTGCCAGGCGATTCTCGCGGAACAACATTTCCTTATATTTACTTTTCATTTCATTTTTGGGTGGATGGTTTTTGGGGTATTTGTTCCCAAATTCCATCACCTTCATTTTTGATAGTTAGAGCTTAGACAACAACATTTGTAGCTTGCAAATGGATGATCTGGGGTCGTGAGCTTGATGGACCATGTTTGATACCACATGAAATATGGTTTCTTCTCCTCTTTCTCTCTTTGTAACCATTATTTTTTGGACTTTGTATGTGATTTTACCTTGACTATATGTATATTTATTGCTCATGGTGCTGTATGAAACTTTCTTTACAAATCTTTTTTTATGTTTATTCTTGTTAGCTTGCTAAGTGTTTGGGTTTGAGTCGTCGCAAAGATGGACGGATTGAATCCGGGTTTATGATGAATAGCTATTGGAACTATATTCTAGAGATAGATTTAGGCTTAGTAATCACTTAGGTATCGACTCTTAATGTTTCCGTGTTTTTTGTGTTGTGTTGAGAGATCGTCGACATGGAGCGACACGGTTGATATCTCGTTTTGCGTTATAAATGACCTCTGTGTTAGTGATACGTGATGATATTGACAAGTAGGTAAGGTTAAGTGAAACCAGGTAGTAAGTTTAAGTATGTGATAGGGTAGACAAAATACAAACTCGAGAGTTCTATCCTATTCGAATGATGAAATTCTTCTTGTGTGTATAACTTTTATGTTCACTTATTTTCCTTTCTATATAAACCAAACACATTTATCCACAAAATCATGAACGAGAGATTTGTCGAATGACATTTCAATACACCAATCTCTGTGGACACGATATAACCTAAATATCACCCGATAAAAATAATACTTTACTTTTTACTTTCCTCTGCAACAAAATGGCGTCGTTGTCGACGATTGGTTCTATTGATTTCGCATTGCGATAATTATTTTGTTTTTGAGTTTTGTAATTAATGTATATGTTGTATAGAAATTATATATTAACTTGTATATGATATTTATGCATATATGTGTTTTCACGTATTATTGTGAATTGTCTCATTTTTGTAACGTTTGTTGTGTGATTGTTAGGACACTTTTTTTAGGTTTGCGTGGTGTAACAATAGCATGGCATGACGAGAGGAGGTTACTAGCTAGCACAATAAAGGCGTCGAGCTTACGACGTAAAACAAGCAGGTTTGTTTGTATTTGTTTATGTGTGTGATGATTTATGTTTTAACAAGTTGAAATAAGGAAATGTTCTGAATTCCAAATCTTCACTTTTCGACTTGTTAATTCATTTTCACCCGGTTTTCATATCATTATTTGTATTTGTTTTTTTATGTCAATTTGTGTTTTTCGAAAGCTTGTCGTGTTTAGGTTGAGGAGTTTTGTTCGTTGTATATATTGTAAATTATGTACATTGAAATTTTATAGGAGTATTATATTTCTAATTCTTTTGATTGTTGTTTGGACACTAACTTTGATCTGATATCTTGAGGAATTTAGAGGCGATTTTCTAAGTCTGAACGTTTCAACTTGCAGATGTATGATAATGATAGTGTTTTGAAGTTGGTACACGTCAGGTACTCATTTATCACTTTCTAGAACATAACCTATTTATGAGACTTTCCTTTTGTACAATTTTCATGCCATTCATTCTTTTGCAAATTGTGTTCACTTTTGAATCACTTTAGAACTAAACCCTTGTGAGGTTGCTTTCCATTGTTTACTATATCCACGGTGTCATACCCCAAATTTTCCCTACCATTATATTTAGGTTTCTAATTGAGTAAATCATATTATGTAGTTTTTATTTCTACGGGGGGTGTAAAATATGGAAGAGAGGTGTATTGATCTAAAAAATGGACCATCAATATCTGATGGGCCATTAAGGTTTCGTTCATTTTGAGAGAGGGTGCATTTTCATGATGAGAGTATACTATTTTGAAAAATCACGGGCCTTTCTAAATCAGAAAGGGCCCATGTAATTTTTTTAATCCAATTCAAGTATTAAAAGAGGGGATCCATAAAACAAATCATTCTTTTTAAGAAGTCCAATAAAACATTGAGGCCCGTTCAATTTTTGGTTTGAGGATTATTTTTTTTTTAATTACATTATTATCATTATTATTAATATAATTATTTTTTATAATTATTTTTATCAATTATTATTAGTATTGATTTTCTTTTTTAGATTATTATTTTATAACTTAAGTAAAAAAAAAGAGAGATGTTTGTTTTAGTTTTTGAAATGTTAACGAAACAGGCCCGATCCAAATAGTTTATGGAAAATCAAAATGAAAACGAGCATTGTACGAATTAAGGAAAAGAAGCGCACACTTTAATATTTTACAACAGACACTGTTCGGATTATGAGAAAGATAATACATTTTCAATACAGAAACGCATATTGTTCAAATCGTAAGAAAGAATAATCAAATAGAAGTAAATCTATACATTAAGTTTTCAGAGACAATATCAAACTAATACATAAACTAAATTAATACAAATCAAAACCTAATACAAACATAATCAGACAAAATCAACTTCATAATCAATACAAAATTAAAATTTTATTAACTTTACAAATATATTAAAAGTTTCCTAAATCTATGAACCCTAAAAGATGCTATAAAAACTAAAAACGAATATAAAAAGGGGACCAACAAAAAAATTGGAGAGGAAATAATTACAGAGAAGAAAATTATTAGAAGGAGGAAAATTTGTAATAGAAGAAGAACATAGAAGCCCCGCCGTTGTAATCCTCGTTCACCGCCGC